TCGATAATTGGCCTTTAAATAATCATGAAATTATGATAAATACGAAACAAGATAGTCAATTGCAAGACATCATTAAATGTGTTAGAGCTGAAAAATGGCCAAAACAAATTAATGACGAGTTTAAGGCATATTATCATAGACGTAATGAATTATTTATAGAAAATGACATTCTAATGTGGGGCCTGAGAATAGTGATTCCAAGCAAACTACGTAGGAAAGTTCTGGAAATGTTGCACGAAGGACATAATGGAATTGTAAAGATGAAAGCTACAGCCAGATCCTTTGTATACTGGGAAACGTTAGATAAAGATATCGAAGAAATCACAAAAAGCTGTGTGCCATGCAGAGTAACCGTACAGGCACCACGAAAAAGCCCTTTGACACCATGGCCTGTAGAAAATCGACCATTTAATAGAATCCACATAGATCTTTGTGGTCCAATGGTAAAACATAATTTTTTAATAATTGTGAATGCTTACACGAAATGGTTGGAAGTGTATCCGATGACTAAAGTCACCACCGATGACATCATTGAAAAATTGAGAGAGACATTTTCCAGATTTGGCATACCAAGTACCATGGTGAGCGACAATGGACCTAATTTGGTGTCAGCAAAGATGCAACAATTTTGTAGACTGAATGGCATCAAGCACTTGAAATCACCTCCTGGTCATCAGCAAAGTAATGGAGCCGCTGAAAATGCAGTTAAAAATTTTAAAACTAAACTCAACACAGCCCTTAAAGATCCAGAAAGCAAAAATCAATCATTATCAACTCTAATATCAAGAATATTGTTCACTTATCGAACGACGGAGCATTGCTCAACAAAAGCATCACCAGCTAGTTTGATGTACAAAAGAGAATTGAGAACGAGACTTTCTAGCATGCGAAAAAGTGACAACATTCTGGATACAGCAGATAAAAGTGCAATAGAAAACTTAAGAAAGGCTCAGGAACGTCAAAAGAAAAACTACGGAGGGAAGGAAAGAGGATTAAAAGTAGGAGACATGGTATTAGTGAAAGATTATAGAAATCCAAATAAGATTGCCTGGACCAAGGCCAAACTAATAAAGAAGACTGGAAACGCAACATTCTTGTGTGAAATGGAAGAAGGAAACATTTGGACACGCCATAAGAACCAAATCAAAATATGCCAGTGGGAAGCAGAATCGAAAAATTTTCATTTTGACCCAAACTTAACCATATTTCATGATTATGATACTGATAACTTTGAAATTGATAAAAACATAATAACTAATAATTCTTCTTTAGATTCTCAGCATAGTGAGATACGTACCTCAACCACAGGTAGAGCCAGCTTCACCTAGCTCCCCTTGTAATTCAAGCCACCCCTCTCTTGCAGAACCACCCTCATGTTGTGACTGTAGGTACCTTATATAATGATTTGTGTAACTATTGTAAGTATAAATTGAATTTATTGGATGAGAAAGGCCCAATGGAATCGACAGCTGATGAAAGTAACATTTCTGTTCATTCAGAGAGCTTTGAAAGTTGTGACGAAGATTCTACTATGAATCTTAATAAAAATAAAAATTTGACAGGGTCTGACTTCCGGAAAGGAACAAAGTATGAAGCTCCGTGACACAGCGACTGGAAGAACCAGTCCACTAGAGAACAGCCCAAAGACAAGCCACGCGCCTCATCCAATGTACCCTTTAAATTAAGCCCGACAATAATCTTAACTGTGATATTTTTAATACAACACTCATTATCGTTCGTGACTAGTTTTATTGATAACAGAAAGAACCCCTAAACACCACAGACAGTTTAGAATTTGGCGAGTTTGGCCCAAGGACCATACACACCACTAAGGATTGCTTATCGGCCTCGTTTTTGGTAATCCCCACCCAATGAACTATAACCAAAAACTGGAATGCCAACACATAAGAACGAACGTGAAGCCTAGTGCGGCTGCTGCGGAGGGGATACCTGTTTTTGTCGCACTCATTATGTTAAATGGCGAAAATTGCTTCCAACACGTATTCCAATTGATGAAACCGGTGAAGGTAAATATGACAAAACTTTCGAAAACGTCATATGTCAGCGAGCAACAGAAAAAAACAACATTCCCCGTTGTGGCATCTGTCTTTCATGGCTTCATTTTTTTGGCAGATATGGCACTGTGTGCGCATTCTAGTTTTTAGCTCTAGTTCATTGTCCCCACCATATTGGTGTATCACCATTGCCGACGTCATCAACTAAGTCGTCAGCGACGTCAGCTGTTTGCGCCGGCAGTCGTAGTTTAAAATTTAAATTTATGATGAAAAATGTTATTTTATTTTAGCATAATAGGCAAATAGAAAGATGAAATCATAACCTGTGGTGCAAACAGCCTACGTCAAGGTGAGAAACGACATGCTACCTACGTCACAAATGGTAATTTAGTGGGGTAGGGGGGCTTCGGATTTGTTGTACACAGGCCTTATGAGGATAGGCTATCCTGTAGTAGTAGTATGTATTATTCGTGGGTTCGTCCTACGCTCGGTCCTACAGGTGTGGTTCCGAAAAAAAAAAATTTCTGCGGCGCTATTTTTTCTATAAATACATGAAACATTTGCTTCATAAAAATGTCCCGTTTTTTTATCAGAATAATATGGTAGCCTTAGTCAAAGCCCAAGGCTGAGTGGATGAACGACACTATAAAACGATTTCATGAGCTGCGTGCTAATGCATTATCTACATTCAAAAGAACTAGATCTGTCAATGATTGGAATCACTACAAGCAGCTGCGCAATCATACTGTGTCTCTGGTTAGGCAAGCCAAAAGGGACTATCTCCAAAATGTCTGTGGGGAAAAAAAACCCTCCAAAACGTGGAAAGTTCTGGCTTCCCTTAATGTACGCTCTAATAATAAGAGAACTCTTCCCCCAGAACTGTCCAACCCTGATGAAATTAATAAATATTTTGGTAGTTTCATTCAAAAAGTATCAAATAACTGTGACAATAAAATTCAATATTATGATAATTTTTCTTTTCTTAGCAACACGTTCTCATTCTGTCTTACCACAACTGAAGAAGTGCATAGAGTCCTACATGGTATCAAAACTAATGCTTATGGTTCTGACAATATATCTTCATATATGCTTAAACAGTGCAGTCCCATTATAGATGTTTACATCATGCATATTATAAACTGCTGTATACTTGATAATTATTTTCCAAGTTGTTGGAAGTTGTCAATTGGCAAACCACTTGCAAAGAATAGTAATCCTCAAAATTTTGGAGATCTTAGAATGATCAGTCTTCTGCCAGCAATATCAAAGGTCTTTGAAAAAATTCTTTACAATCAAATATATGCCTATCTCCTCGACAAAAATATTCTTCCTGACGCACAGTGTGGTTTTAGAAAAGATTTTAGTACAGCCTCGGCTTTGGCTGCGGTGATCGATGATATAGTTGCTGCTTCTGATCAGGGGCTTGCCTCTGCTCTTGTTCTTCTAGATTTCTCCAAAGCGTTTGACACTCTTGATCATCGTTTGCTTTGTTCCAAATTAAAATTCTATGGTTTTCAACCTCACTCGGTTGAATTAATGCGTTCCTACTTATCTCAGCGTATTCAAAGGGTTGAGCTTGGTGGAATATCTTCTGACCCGATTGCTGTTTACTCCGGGGTTCTTCAAGGCTCAATACTAGGTCCACTTCTCTTCATTTTATATACAAGTGATATCATAAAGGCTGTTAAAAATTGTAGAGTGATAGCCTATGCTGATGACACACAAATTTATTTTTCTTTTAAGCTGGCTAATATTCTTGAGGCTGAAGAATTAATTAACAGAGAGCTCCAAAACATAAAATTATTGTCCTTGGAGCACAATTTGATTTTAAATTCTAAAAAATCTAATCTTATCTGTTTCGGCAGTGCCAAAGGTCGTAATTTTGTCAAGAATAACCTGTTTATTCATTATTCATATAGATAACGTACCTCTACCGTTTGTGTCTTCTGCGCGTAATCCTGGACTTATTATTGATGAAGAGTTGCGATTCCAAGAACATATTAAAAGTGTCATGAGCAAGGCATATTGTGCTCTCAAGCTTATTTATTCCAATCGAGATATTTTAAGTCGTCAATTGAAACGGATGTTGTATGACAGTTTGGTGCTATCACGATTCAGTTACTGTGATTTCATTTATGATAATTTTTTGTACGCACTGGATCGATATAGGATACAAAAAAATCAAAACTCTTGCTGTAGACTTCTTTACGGTCTCAGAAAGTATGATCGGATCTCTCATAAGATTGTTCACTGCAACTGGCTCAACATGGATAATCGGAGAACTCATCATTTTGGAAATTTTCTTCATTCATTGTTCACCTCCCCTCACGCTTCTGTGTTGCTTAAGAATAAGTTTATTCCCCGCAATAATGTACATAATAGGAACATCAGATCAAACAAGAAATTTACAATTCCACAACACAAAACCTCCTTATTTCAAAGGGGTTTTATTTATAATGCTATTAAGCTTTATAATTCTCTTCCACATGGCTTAAAGGAACATAATATCACAAGTTTCAAGCATGAATACCGTTCTATATTGTTTAATGAGCAGGTTAATTCCCTCACCTAATTTAGTTGCTGATGGCTTACTAGAGGGTGGTGCGCTGGTGTCTCGGGACTATCTTAAAACTATTTATAATATTGGTTAAAATTCCAACGTAATGTATAGTTAAATATTTAAATTTGAATATTTACTCATATTTGCGCTTTTTTTTAGATATACTGTTTAGTTTTTTAGGGAATATTATGATGGTACATTTCATTAATATGTGGGGTGTATGCATATATATCACTAGATATGGTTGAGTTTGAGTAGCTTTCAAGCTAGACTTCGCCATGCTAGAGTTTGCATCCCCTATTATGTTAATTTATATTTACTAATACTATTGTTCTTCTTTGTATGGGAATGTATCTTAACCATTTTTTTTTCTGTTCTTAATATTGAATAAAGGCGATATTTATTTATTTATTTATTTTACTTACACCTAATTCATACTCATCGTCGCTAATATTTGTGGAATTTCCATTTGGAGAGAAGCTAATTTCGGCAGAAGCAGTTTTGCTGAATCTTGCGCCACCATTTTCAATAATCGTAGTTTCCATGTTGAAGCGAGTATCATTCAGGTTCGTCTCTGAAGCCGTACAATTGTTCTTGGATAACCGGCTTATTTCTTGATGAGACAGTCTTTGGAGACAAACCCTGACCTAAAAAATTTTTACATTCGTGCTGTTTAACAATAGTTATTTCATTTTCATAATAATCAGCATTTAATAGGTCACTCAAAAAAACTTGCTAAAGAGAAATCCCCGAAATTTCCTAGAAAAAACTTTATTACTAATCGAATAGTGTATACATGGAACTCTTTGAAGGAGGATACCGTTGGTGCGTCTAGTGTGAATCAGTTCAAAAACAGACTTGATTGAGAGAGGCAAGAATCCAACTCAAGACTAGTCCATTATGGACCATAGAAATAGTTTTTCGAGAAATCCTTCTCTTTTATAGTGCAATACGTCAAATACTTGGACAATTTGGCAATAGCCTTATCGGTTTCTACTGCCTGCTATTGGACAAAATAATAATAATACTTTTAGTAAAAATCACAATATGTCACTCAGGAAGATTAAGACTTAGAAAAGAAGAAGAATCTAGAAAAATGTTCAATGATATGTATCCTAAGGGAGAACTCTGAAGCAGGTTGAGAATTTATTAGAGTTAAAAGAATTAAATATGAGTTTTTCTCTAAATAACCCTAAAACGTTCACTTTAAATAGGAGCAATCAATTCATTGCTGGCCTTGGTGAAGTCAACGCTGTTCCTCCAAGGCATTCAACAAAAATTCAAAATAACTGTGCAAATTTAGTTTGGTTCAGCTTTTTGGTGTAATTTCAAACTGGTACGAGGTTCGATGATCCTGGTAATGATGCAGATAAATTTGTTAATTTATTTTATCTTGAGAATAAAGTTTAGAGATAACGTCAAAAGTACTAAGCAATAATAATCTATCTGCCTTTGCCATCAGAAGTGGTCAATACATTATTCAAAGAAACATTAGGGACATACATACATGTAGTTATTTATTATATTAAATAAATTCCTGTCTCACCTCTCCTAAACCAATGCTTGATTTGTCCGTAGAGGTTTCTTCAGGGATTACCGAAAGACAACTGAAGAATAAAAAATTAGAAAGTATTCCAAATAAAGAAAAATATTGTTTCTTACTTAGGTGACTGGTCCTCTTCTTCGTACATTTCAACTTCATCTTCATTATTGTCTTCTTCCATTGGTACAACTAAATAAACCCAGAAATAAATTCAACTTTTCACCAATTATTATCACAGTAAACTTACCAGCAGAATTTCTATCTCTACGAGTAAAAGATCTTGGATCAATATTTTCATTATTTATATTTATGCTCTGAAAGTTCAACTATTGAAGAAACTATTTATTTAAAAAATATTATTCTTACTAAATTATTTGGACTCTCATTATTGAAAGTTTCATCATGGAAAATTTCATTTGCAAATACTGCACGTGACGTTGAAGGCCTAGGTTCTTGTTCATTATTGGTCATTCTGTTTAAATTAATTGTAGGGTTTAAATTCAAAACAGTTCCATTAACAGTATGCGGTTTTACTGTGTGGACTGTTGCGTTTTTGGCTTTGGTTGACTTATCTCCATTTAAGTCTTTGTTGACTTGTGAGATTAGCTCCACTATTTCTAGTATTGAAGGAGTACATTTTCCAAGCAGGCTTTTTAACTTTCCCAGACCGGATGCAACATTCTAAAAATATCATTAATATTTTACCACTTTTGCCACAAGAGTTCCATAACAACCTACACTGTATTTAGTTTGCATTGCAAAAAATTGCGCTTTGACATTCATCATTTCAGTTTTTAATTCTTTATTTTCCTGGGTCAATTTGACGTGGGCTTGTGCAAGCTCTAGATTCTTTGATTTTAGAGCTACATTTTCTGAAAAAATATCTAAATTTAGTACCTAAAGAGTTACTAGAGACACATACCTCTAAATAAAAATCATATTAAGGTACAAATTGAAAAAAAAAGGAACCAGTAGAACCATGAATTGTCTCACAGAAGAGAATCATGATTACATAATATCCTCAATAATATCCGAGGGGTTTCTAGATGTCCACAATAGCTGTGCAGAACTTTTTAAACAGGACTTCAACACAAAGGGTCAACGACCCACCAAAATATTTAAACCTATTACCATTTTCATTATTTATTACCACATATTGCTAGTGATAATCATTACCATCGAAATATTATGAGTTACCTATTACGTAATTATTACCAAAATGTTCACAGGGTGAGTCATGTTGGGTGGGAATGCCGGATACAGTCTAAACGGTGGTAGATACAAAAAATATATGTGTCGCGATCTTTTTTTTTAGGGTATTATTTTTTGAGATATAGTGCAAATTTTAACTTTTTTAAACAGAACACCCTATATATTTTTACACAGTTAAATTAGATGTTCTTTTGTGATTGTGATGATATACAACACTTCACAGTTTTAATAATTTTGACTGTCAAAATAGAAAAAGAGAGCTTAATTGTAATAAATACAAGTTAGAAAAAAATAAAAGATGACATGCGCGCGCAACTCGTAGGTTCAGTGTAGCCAGATTGTATTGTTGCATTTGAGGCAGAACAAATGTAGATAATATAAATCGAACATTATAACATTAAAGAAGTGATATAGTGTCAAGTGTACTACAACGCCTTAAATCAGACAAAAGAAGAGCTTAAAAAGTTTATGTTAACATCGTTTACACTTTTATTTTGATAAATGTTTCATTTGACAACATCGCACAATTAAATTGCAAAGAAATATGTCAAGTTTAATCTAACATAACCTTAAACGACACTGCGGTGAGTTCAAGTAATACATGAAGTATTAGTTTGCTCTTTGTCGAATTACATGTTACAAAGAAAGAAGAAACGATTCATTCTGAACTGGCACCTGAATAAGAATATGACGCAAGCCTGTAACAAAGTTGCTTCCCATTGGACGCTCACCTGCAGCCTACAAGCGACGCGCGCAGTCCAGGTAATAGGAGATCGGTCTATTATTATAGTTAATTGAACATAATATACAGTGTGTCCACTTAAGTTCGTAGCATATGAAAAACTTTTTTATTATGAATTATACCGAAAAAAGTTATTCTTTATGTAAGTTTCTGCTTCTTGAAAAAATAATATTAAACTATTAAAATTTGGAATAGCATGTACAGGGTGGCCCAAATTCGAGCCTCATGTAAGAGATACAGGGCCGGTTAAATTATGGCAAAGTTGCGCATTTTGATGCTTAACAAAATGCCGCTTTGATATTTAGGATATTACAAATACTTTCGGAGATATCCGGCAAAAACCGAAATTTTGCAAAATTGATTTTATTTTTTCCTGACTTTATTTGAAGTGATATTTCAAAAAAAAAAAATATCACATCATCATAGCCAGTTTTTCTCCCCTATGATGCTACCATCAAAGGACCCTGCCCAAAATACACGGAAATTGTGTTTGTGTCAGAATTGGCTGAATTTTGTATATAATGTAGATCATGCCTTTCTTATTAAAAATTACCATTACACTAATCCTGAAAAATGACTCCACGTAGCACACCATTGCGCCACAAGCTTACCTATTCTACACCTATTCGTGTAACATTGAATGTCCATTACAATGTCCAAGCGCTTTACTTGCTACCTATAAAATTGATTTTCTCAAAAAGGAGTAGTTTTTCAGGATTGGTGCAATGGTAACTTTAAATCAGAAAGGCGTGATCTACATTATATACAAAATTCAGCCAATTCTGACATAAACACAATTTCCGTATACTTTGGGCAGGGTCCTTTCAAATCTGACGTTTCGTCTTTGGGCTATCATCATCAACTTTATTTTTTTAAATATGGACCCTTATTCCTTATTTCAGATTTTAAAAGCTTCTAATGTCCCAAAACCTATGACGTATCGCATTTACTCGAAAAATTTATATTATTAGCACTTACCATAAGAACTGAATGTGTTAGAGAGAGACAGAGAAGAGAATTTTGGTAGGAAATTATTAAAAAGTGGAAGAAATATTTTTTTGAATAAATGCGATATGTCATAGGTTTTGGAACATCAGAAGCTCTTAAAATCTGAAATAAAAAATCGTATTTAAAAAAATTAAGTTGATGATGGTGGTCCAGAGACGAAACGTTAGATTTTTAATTTGATGGTACCCTCTTGTAGGGGAGGAAAAGTGGCTACGATGAAGTGATATTTTTTTTGAAATATGACTTCAAATAAAGTCAGGAAAAAATAAAAATAATTTTGTAAAATTTCGGGTTTTTCCCGATATTTCTGGAAGTATTTGGAATATCCGAAATATAAAAGCCGCATTTTGTTGAGCATCAAAATGCGCAACTTTGCCATGATATAACTGACCATGTATCTTTTACGGTTTCTGAGATCCCACTGATGAGGCTCGAATTTGGGCCACCCTGTACAGGGTGGTCAGAAAATAGATAAATATACAGGGTGTTTCCTAAGTACGGTTCGTAACTTCAGGATGTGATTCCTTACAATATTTTAAGACAAAAAGTTCCCATGAATATGTGTCCGGAAATGTGTAGTTTCTGAGATACAGGGTGTCAAAGTTTTAGAAAAAATCGTTTTTTCATTTCAAAAATCACTTTTCCATTTTTTTTTTCAAATTTGGCAAGTTTATTTGTGATAACAAAAGGTATCTTTTGACTAGATATGACTTGCTTAATCTGAAAAAAATATCAGAGGTTTAAAAAAATAGTGACGTGCCATTTTTTGTCTACTTTTACCAGAAAATCCTGTATATTATTCTATTTTCTGACCATGTACATGCTATTTCAAGTTTCAATAGTTTAATAGTATTTTTTCAAGAAGCAGAAACTTTTATAAAGAATAACTTTTTTTCGTAAAATTGATAATAAAAAAGTTTCCCATATGCTGCGAACTTAAGTGGACATAATTGCAAATATAAATAGTTAATTTGTATTTGTAGACAGACAATAACGAGTTGATCAAGTTGGTAAAGCTACACGCAGATTGTATCACTAACGCGTTAAGAGCTGGCGGAACATTTGACCGATTGGGTGAAAATGAACCGACAGCCCCTGTAGCTCAGTTGGTATAAGACTGGTAATCTTGAGGTACTAGGCTGAAGTCCTAATTTGGTCCAAACTTTTTGTCAACTAAGTTACTAAAAAAAATTGCTCACGCTCACGCTAATAACTATATTACTAATTACTAGATATGTTTGATGAGGTATTTGTTAGATTTTTTTTTAAATATGTTACTGGTTCACGAGTTCAAACAGAACATCAGAACAGAACGGAATTACCAAAAAAAAATGGGGTTAGCAGAGCTCATTCGGCATTCCCGCTCGATATAACGGAATAACCATAGCATAAATAAATGCGAGCTCTCTCAGGTTAATCAAAAAGGGTCGACAATCGCTGTTTCAAGGATAAGGTGTGTGTCACAGAGCACTGCTGCGAAAGCTGGAAGCTTACGGTTTCAGGGGAGTGGTCCTGAATTGGTTCGAGTCCTTCTTAACCAACCGCACTCAGAGTGTCAGGGTGAACGGCGAATGTTCCACTAGCCAGGTTATTGACCACGGAGTACCACAGGGTTCGGTTTTAGGACCGATCCTGTTTTTGCTCTATATTAATGACTTATGACAAATAGACATATCAGGAGTATTTGCTGCATTTGCCGATGATGCAACGATTTTGTGGCATGGAAGGGAATCGCGAGAGTTGGTTCGGATAATCTCTCAAGATCTGGTTAAAATTAAACACTGGTGTGACAAATGGGCTTCTTTTCAACTTTAACAAGACTCAAGTACTGGGTTTTTGCTGTAATATGGATGATATTGTATGTGATCAGTTCTTAATTAAATCTTCCACAAGTGCTAAATTTCTTGGACTTCAGATCGACGTCAGTCTAAAATTCCAATCACATATCTTATCACTAAGCAAAAAACTCGCTTCAGGGTGTTATTGTGTCCGAGCCGTAGCTACTCACTTAGGTTCACAAACTGCAAAAACAGTCTATCATGCAGTGTTTGAGTCACATCTTGCATACGGCTTACCTTTCTGGGGATGTTGCAGTCAATACTTGTTTGACTCTGTTTTTAGACTGCAAAAAAGATCGATAAGGTTCATTACATGTGCCCCGATAAGAACTCATTGTAGACCACTATTTGTACTTCATAAAACCCTTACTCTTCCCTCACTGTTCATTCTAGAAACTGTTAGTCTAATACATAAAAATCTTCATCTGTTTCCAACTACCCAGAGATCTCGAACCACACGTCAAACAAACATAAATGCTATACCTCTTCCTACTCCTCATACCACACTGGTACAAAAATCAATTATCTACAACAGCCTAAAGATTTATAATCACTTACCTGATAGCCTATTATCCATGTCGGATCTTGGCAAGTTCCGAAAAGCACTAAAGGAAATTTTGGTTGCACAAGCATTTTATTCTATTGAGGAATTTCTTAATTTCTCCTTCCGTGAAACAAGGACCTAAGTACTGAAAAGCTATCTATTGAACCCCACCTGGTTATATTCTGTTGTTCATTGTGTGATAGTGTTTTCCTTCTGTATGAGTTTACGAAAACTTTCCAATATATTATACTAATTACCTAAGTACTGTTTCTCATTTTAAACTATTTATATGTATTGTTTTTTTTTTCTATTTTAGACTGTTCATTTGTTTTTTCCTAATTATTTATTGTTCTCCACAGATAATATTGAAAGACCTTGTTGGGTGCATATTAACCAAATTAGTTGCTAATCTTTTTTTATTAAATTAAATTCTTTATTTACGGACATGCCATTTTTACAAAGGTAGACTTAAAGTGTAGGTACACGCAATAATAAATATTTGGAATAACAAGTAGGCAACAGACAAGT